CTCTAAACGGCACCTTTTCACTCAAACCCTTAGATCTACTTGGTTGAAGACCTCTACTCACCTTTGCTCCTTGAGATAAAGATTAGTAGAGCTTGTCTGAGTGCTTCATTTTTGATCAGAAGCAAAGCTTGCGGTTTCTTCCTCCACCAACGTTTTGAGTTTTTTTTCCTTTCTTAGTACATCCCCTATCTCCTCCCAAACAATATACATATACAATGTATTAAAGCACATAATCATATACGGAGTACATCCCCTATCTCCTCCCAAACAAGATACATATACAATGTATTAAACTCTTTATCTTGTACTATGATCAATAAAGGCACATATTCAATGTGTTCTTCCCACTATCATATTCAATGACATATTCTAATTAATTAGTTTCAATTTACCTAATCATCATGCAGTTCTACAACAATCAAGACTATCCTCCACCGATAGCCCAAACTAGTTATTTCTAAACAGATAAATGTATTTACCAAATAGATAAATTATCACATTTTCTATAGGTGAGTGATTTATCAAACCGACCACACCAACTAGTCCCAATTCCATCCAATTTCATGATGTTCCAATCAATTTCATATTCCTCACAATTACCAAATTAATTATACAAATTAATTATTTAGATTCAATTAGGGCATTTTCCCCATTTTCTCAAACATTGATCCTAAGACCAAATCTCACCTATCAAACCCACAGAACCTCATTTTCAAGACCTCATATACATATGGAGCTCAAAAACACAAAACTCCTCTCTTATATACTACCAATCTCAAGCCCTAACTTCCCAAGTCACTAAATCTCAACATTTATACAAAATAACTAATATTTATGTTAAAACTCATAAGGAGGAGTAAATCATCCCTACCTCAAGTTTAGAAGAGGTAGAAGGAAGAAAAACTCAAAAGTTGATGGAGGAGAAACCAAGCTTTGCTCTGATCAAAATGAAGCCCTCGACAAGCTCTACACTTTATCTCAAAGGAGCAAAGTGAGTAGAGGTCTTCTACCAAGTAGATCTAAGGATCTTTGAGTGAAAAGTGCCTTTTGAGAGAGATAGAAGGTGTTTCATGGTTTAGAGAGAGGAAAGGGAAGAAAAAGTAAGAGAAAAGGTCAAGTGAGGGCCTTTATATAGTACTAGATCAAAAATAGATATAAGCCCCAAAATTAACTCAAAATATCTAGTCAAAATATCCCCAAAAAGTAGGCCCAAACCGGTAGAAAAATCTGGGAAAAAGTCGCAGGTGTCGACCCTTGTAACAGTGGTGTCGACACCAAAGAGGAAAAAAAACTGGGAAAGCTTTGATTGCACTGCAGGTGTCGACCCTACCCCAGACTGGTGTCTACCCTATCTTCCAGCAACCAACACACAGACAGAAGAGGGTCACCCCTTTCTCAGTCTGGTGTCTACCTTATGTTCCAGCAACTAACACACAGACAGAAGAGGGTCGACTCTCTCCCAGTCTGGTGTCTACCCTATGTTCCAGCAACCAACACACAGACAGAAGAGGGTCGACCCTCTCCCAGTCTGGTGTCCACCCTATGTTCCAGTAACACTTTCAGAACTTCATCAACAGGTAAGGGTCAACCCTGGGAAGGCTGGTGTCGACCCTAGAGTGGAATTTCTAAGTCTCCAAGGAACTTTTGACAAGAATAAGTGCGAACAACCAAACCCAACAAGTTTAAATCAATTTGTACTCCCCCAAAACTAAAGTACAACAACACCAAAGGTTCCCAAAATAGAATAAAGGGTCCAAATAAATTTACCAAAGGCTTTAAAAGGCACAAGTGCTACAACCTCCTCACTGTTGGAAATTTCGTCCCCGAAATTTTTCAAGATAAATTTCAAAATCGTAATTAAACCAATCCCAACCATACTAATCAATCAATTTCATCACCATGACCCATTTATCGGTCATTCCATCCCTTTACAAGAGAACAAATCTACAACATATATTACCAATATGTGTATTCTAAGATTTAACACATTCAACACACATATTCCATAATGTATTCAATTTTAATAACATATGTGCATTTCTATAACACATTCAACATATACAATGTTAAACTCTCATTTCCATAACATATTCAACAAACACAATACTTCCATAATCCGAAACATATACAATGTTCTTAGAGTTTATCACAAAACAAAATTCTCAATATAGGCTCAAGCATCCACAAATAGGTCAAGATATTTTTCTCGAACCTCCAATTCACGTTCCCAAGTGGCTTCCTCAACCCTGTGATGTTTTCCACAACACCTTAATTAATAAAAAAGTCCTGCTCCACAAGACTTGATAAAAATGATAACAGTACGACACATTCAACCACTACAGTGTTCTGAAACATCTACAACGTCTCGACTACCGACAATACCCCAACCAGTATTGAGTGCTTAATACCCCCAACATAGGAAACACGAAATCATTCGTACACAAGGCTTTCGGTCAACTTTCACAAAACGAGAACGCAAGACGATGTATGGGTAAAGAATAACATTATGGCACATTAATGCCCCAAAATTTTGAGTTCTTGCCAAAGACACACAACATGTAACAAGCAACTCAGGCTAGGTCAAATCTAACTTCTCATAAGATACTCTATCCAGGTTAAAGAAATTGCTTTATTTAATCCATTTGTTTCAAAGCACTCGGTTTTTCTCAAAAAGTGTTCAGACTTATACCGCCACCATTTAAACATGTCACTTACAACTGGCTGCAACCGAACTCAAAGATTTTTATTTTTTTTTTCAAATTATTTTCCCGAAAATAAGGATTGCAAATTCATGTTTCGATTCAAAATCGCTTTAGTTTATGAAGAGTACTCAATGTCCCCCCAGTGAATCACAACATAACCATCCCACAAAACCCGTCACACTCACGGTGATGACACAATACCCAAAACAAAACTTTCATGATAGGGACCCCTATAAATTTTGAAATTTCCAACCACGCAATGACACACAAGGGTGAAATTGCACACCCCCGTGCCTTACACTACACAAACAAGGACTGAACAACTCAACCGAACTTCCAAATCGATTACCACAACTCAAAATAACTTTCTAATTGTCTATGTGGAGGTTACATCCCACATCAAGACACTGTTTGATTACACAACCTCTTAGGTCTAATAGATTGCTCTGGATTCTTCAAAGTTACCCCACGACACCTTGATTTTTCCAATCACCCCTCACACGTATGCCTACAAGGCAAGCACATCTCTGTTTCACATTAGAGTTCTAACTGAACTTTTCAAATCAGGCATAATATGCCATCTCCAGTCAACGTACACCCCCGTGCCTTAGACTACACAAACAATGACTGAACAAGTCAAAACAGCTTCGATAGAGTGCCTCACTCACTTTACAAAATTTTTACTTCACTTGTGCTTCCACTATACAAACTGGACAACAGACACCTACACCCAAGTGACCCAGCTTTACCAAACATCAAGCCACTCGATTCCATCAGTAACCACACTATCGCCTTACCAAGGCATTCTCCTGGGGTTTCCCTATGACCGATTCCCTTCTACACATCATCTAATAACAACATACGAACTACACACTATCACGTACCGTACTAGGCAAAACCTCCTCATTTAATGCAAGCTATCTTACACCCATACTGAATCCCTCATTTAGAGATTTCACTCGCAACCTCGACCGGACTCATAATAACAAAATTTGCATACTTGTTCCCTCGTACCAAGTTAGTTAACAAGGGTTTACCACCCCACGACACTTATCATTACTACGTAACCGTTCGAGCTGAACACAAGCAAACATAGTATCTTCATCCGCCAGTGATCCACAGGATCCACTCTTTATTCCACATCCTATTTGACACTCGTCCCGAGGGTACAATCAAGACTCTAAGTTTCCGTGCCAAACAACTAGCCATTACTATTACTGAACAACTGCCTTGAACCAAACCCCTGGCACAATCGCATGTCACCGACAAGGCTCCCAAAGACTTATCATCCTAACTCTCCAGAAGAGTAAAAGTCCTCACTCTCCTCGCCATTATCCCAAGCCTTCATCCACAAACACCATACCACTGTGACTCTACTCACGGGTCACACCCTAACCACGGGCTATACACCCAATCAACCCTTTCGATAGCATCTCTTGACCTAACCAGTGTTAAGGTACATACCTATCTCATTCAAACATAATAAAAGAGTCCTGAAGCTTAGGAAACATCCATTATACTATTGCCCGCTAATTTCACACTTCACATCCTCTCAAGGAGTTCCCACGACCGCAAACCAAAATCCCCACCATGCACAAAAGATCAAATAAGTCACACTCATGAAATTCCGTGCACCCGGCACGTATAACTGTTCTCGCCCCATAGTAATCCCGACTAGGATACGCATCCCTCAATAGCTCTTTTAAATTTCAAAATATGGCTCACCAGCCCTCATTTTTCCAAACCAACTCACATGCATACAAATGCTTTATTACAAAATTTTTACAGTTTCACAATAACTTATTACATTAATAAAACTTTAGAGCCACTACATGCTCTAATCTGCCCATTCCATGAAAATAAATAAACACAGGCACATACATATATATATATATATATATATAAACAAGCAACTTTGATGTTCCAACATTCCCAAAACACATTGGTTACACAACAGAACCCAATGATTACAAAACGATAATTCACCGATTACAAAATGGATTAGTCAAAACAAAACCATCCCATCGGTATCACCACCATTACCGTCCCTCGCTAGATCGCTAAAGTTGGTCATTCTCAAACCCAAGATATCCTACGAGCTTACAAGCCAAGGACAAGAACTACTGATATGCCCCAACTGGCCACACCTAGAACAATTGCATATTTCCTCAATAGGGGCTTGGGAACTCGACTCTCCCGAGGCCCTTGAAATCTGGTCTATTTATTCCTCATAATGGTATTGCCCTTGCCCAGTCGAATAAAGCTTAACCAAATTAGGTTGCAAAACTCCCAAAGAAGCCCCTGGCTGGGTACATAAACGTTTGATATGACCTGGCTGATTACACACCCAACAAGTAAGTGGCTTCCAAGTACGTGACTGGTTCAAAGTCTGAACTGATAGGGACCCCAATGACTGCTTCCCCAATGAGCATTTGATCGGTCCAAAACCTGGTTGGCTAGATGATTCTGGTGGTGCAACTACTGGTCGAACTGCCAACCCTGCCCTCTTCCTCTGTGGGCAAGCTAGAGACTTCTGGCCCAGCTGACCATATTTGAAACAAGTGACAACCCTCCACTTACCCTTTCCAGAACATAAACTCGGCACTGGAAAGGTAGAGCTAGACTGAGCTCTCTGAAGTAGTTGTGGGTTAAAACCCTTCTGCCTTTTAAAAGGCCTACCAACACTCTGAGTTACAAGAGTCGCCAAAATGGCCTCCTCCCTATTTTGTACCATAACTAGCACCGCTGCCTCTACATGAGCTGCCGCCTTAACAAGCACACTATAACTCCTATGCCAAGACCCAGCAATCCTTTCTCGGATGTCGTCACACAGCCTACTCTCAAACTTTGAACAACGCAGTTCCTCCGTCTCCACTAACTCTGGGGCAAATCTCGACAGGTTAGCGAACCATGCTTCAAACTGTACCAAAGGCGTAGTACCTTGGCGTAACTCCACAAACTGTTTCCGCAACTCTTCCCGTGTGGAAGGAGGGAAATCATTACTTCCTTGTCTAGGCATCCTAGTGAAGGTAACAAAGATATTAGCACATTATCAAAGGGGCCGAAGCTATTTCACTCGCGTGCTAACACGATGGACAACTGTAATTCACTCCACATAAACACATAATCACATAAGCACTTATGAATCACATTTCTGGATAATGACCGTCCCGTGGCATTGCTAGAGTTCTAGTTAGAAACGACATTGATCAAGTGCCCTTCCAACAGGACTCCCAGAAATCCAAGGATCCAATCAACATTCTAGAAACTAAATCGCATACACATATAGTGACATAAACATGTTATCACATAAGCATATAACATCATACATAAGTCGCTAACAAGCGAGACAAACCCACTGTGGTATTAACCACTTCTCATGTACCCAAAGTATTCAAACCTAGTACGCTCTGATACCAAGTTGTAATGCCCTCAAAATTTTATATAATCCCAACATCTAAAAGTTCTATATACATGGTAGATAAATCACATTTCCATGCATACATCAGAATTAATATTACAAAGAGTATTTCATATACGTTACAAATGTTTACACAAATAATAGAACGCCCTGCGGGCTTACATCTTTCCAAGTTCTTACTTGGTTACACAAAAGAAGAGTTCTAACTCTTTTACAAGTAAAGCCCTTGGCTCGTATTTACATATAACCAACAAAACAAATAACAAAGCAGAGTCTTCAACTCCTAAACTTCCCAAGCAAAGATCTTAGAGGCGGCACGTCTCCTGTACCTGAAAATGGTGTCCCAAGAAGGGTGAGCCAAAACCCAGTAGAGATATGCTAAACCCAATATGAGAAATAACTAAAACATTGACATTCGACAAATGGTTAAAACTTGTAAACCAACTCACATCCTTCCCATAACCCAAAAACAATTTCATCCATGTTTCAATCCACTTCCCTTTACTTATCCACTCCAATTCCTAATATGGTTCATTATCTAACCAAACGATTTAAATGAGACTGCAACTCAACTTATTAACACTTCTGTCATCCACAATTCAAAATGAGATTACAACTCATGTAATTAACACTTCAATTATCAACTTCATTCATGCACTTCAATTTATAAGGTTTCGGGAATTACACCCTGGACACTCCGGCCAACTTAATTATCTATGGAGTGCATCCCCTATCTTCTCCCAAACAATGGAGTGCATCCCCTATCTCCTCCCAAACAAAGATACATATACAATGTATTAAAGCATATAAATCACATGTATGGAGTACATCCCCGATCTCCTCCCAAACAAAGGTACATATACAATGTATTAAAGCAAATATGCACATATGGAGTACATCCCCTATCTCCTCCCAAACAATATACATATACAGTGTATTAAAGCATATAATCACACGTATGGAGTACATCCCCTATCTCCTCCCAAACAAAGGTACATATACAATGTATTAAAGTAAATATGCACATATGGAGTACATCCCCTATCTCCTCCCAAACAATATACATATACAATGTATTAAAGCACATAATCATATACGGAGTACATCCCTTATCTCCTCCCAAACAAGATACATATACAATGTATTAAACTCTTTATCTTGTACTATGATCAATAAAGGCACATATTCAATGTGTTCTTCCCACTATCATATTCAATGACATATTCCAATTGATTAGTTTCAATTTACCTAATCATCATGCAGTTCTACAACAATCAAGACTATCCTCCACCGATAGCCCAAACCAGTTGTTTCTAAACAGATAAATGTATTTACCAGACAGATAAATTATCACATTTTCCATAGGTGAGTGATTTATCAAATTGACCACACCAACTAGTCCCAATTCCATCCAATTTCATGATGTTCCAATCAATTTCATATTTCTCATAATTACCAAATTAATTATACAAATTAGTTATTTAGATTCAATTAGGGCATTTTCTTCATTTTCTCAAATATTGATCCTAAGACCAAATCTCACCTATCAAACCCCTAAAACCTTATTTTCAAGACCTCATATACATATGGAGCTTAAAAACACAAAACTCATCTCTTATATACTACCAATCTCAAACCCTAACTTCCCGAGTCACCAAATCTCAACATTTATACTAAATGACTAATATTTTTGTTAAAACTCATAAGGAGGAGTAGATCATCCCTACCTCAAGTTTAGAAGAGGTAGAAGGAAGAAAAACTCAAAAGTCGGCGGAGGAGAAACCAAGCTTTGCCCCGATCAAAATGAAGCCCTCGACAAGCTCTACACTTTATCTCAAATGAGCAAGGTGAGTAGAGGTCTTCAACCAACTGGATCTAAGGATCTTTGAGTGAAAAGTGCCTTTTGAGAGAGAGAGAGAGAGAGAGAGAGAAGATGTTTCACGGTTTAGAGAGAGGAAATGGAAGAAAAAGTGAGAGAAAATGTCAAGTGAGGGCCTTTATATAGTACTAGGTCAAAAATAGATATAAGCCACAAAGTCAACTCAAAATATCTAGTCAAAATATCCCCAAAAAGTAGGCCCAAACCGGTAGAAAAATCTGGGAAAAAGTCGCAAGTGTTGACCCCTGTAACAATGGTGTCGACACCAATAAGGGAAAAAAACTGGGAAAGCTTTGACTGCACTACAGGTGTCGACCCTACCTCAGACTGGTGTCTACCTTATGTTCCAACAACTCACACACAGACAGAAGAGGGTCGACCCTCTCTCAGTCTGGTGTCTACCCTATGTTCCAGCAACCAACACACAGACAGAAGAGGGTCGACCCTCTCCCAGTCTGGTGTCTACCCTATGTTCCAGCAACACTTCCAGAACTTCATCAATAGGTAAGGGTCGACCCTAGGAAGGCTGGTGTCGACCCTAGAATGGAATTTCTAAGTCTTCAAGGAACTTTTGACAAGAATAAGTGCGAACAACCAAACCCAACAAGTTTAAATCAATTTATACTCCCCCAAAACTAAAGTACAACAACACCAAAGGTTCCCAAAATAGAATAAAAGGTCCAAATAAATTTACCAAAGGCTTTAAAAGGCACAAGTGCTACAGGTCCAGAGAGGCCATTGTTTTGGAGTGACAACTCTCCTAACTTTGTCAAAGGACAAAGATCATTTGGAATGATGCCCTCCCTCTTGTTTCCATCAAGATGCAATCTTTGTAGGCTCTGTAATTTCCCGATTGTTGATTAGATGGTTCCTGTCATACCATTGTTGGCCAGAAAAAGTGTATTCAAGTTTTCAAAATAATCGATTGCACTAGGAATGTGACCTATTATTTGGCAATTAGATGTGGCAAAAAGTAGAAGGGGACTTGTGCGATTTCCAATAGAATTTGGTAAGATGCCATTGAATTGATTTTTACGGGTATTGATGAGTTTAGGGCATTAGAAACTAGTAGCACCTTCTGTAGAAGACTAATATTTCCTATGCAAGGTGGGATTGGTCCAGAGAGGCCATTGTTTTGGAGTGACAACTCTCCTAACTTTTTTAAAAAACAAAGCTCATTTGAAATGATGCCCTCCATCTTGTTTCCATCAAGATGCAATCTTTGTAGGCTCTGTAATTTCCCGATTGTTGATGGGATGGTTCCTTTCAGACCATTGTTGGCCAGAAAAAGTGTATTCAAGTTTTCAAAATAACCGATTCCCCTAAGAATGTGACCTATTATTTGGCAATTAGATGCGGCAAAAAGTAGAAGGGGACTTGTACGATTTCCAATAGAATTTGGTAAGATGCCATTGAATTGGTTGTTATCAACAACCAGATTTTCCATGCTTCTACAATTTGTCAAAGAAGTGATAAAATGAAGTTCCAGACTTCCAGGATCTCTTGTTAGCTGATTGTTTCCAACATTGATTTCTTGGAGTAGCTGCAAATTTCCAAAATTTGTCAGCATTGGTCTAGTAAATAAGTTGACTTCTAGATTTAACCTTGTTAGCCTGGAAGAATTAGACAAATATGCAGGAATGTTTCCACCATGTTGGTTGTTTTGCAGCTGAAGCAACATAAGATTTGGAAGCTGATGCCCAACAGTTTCCGCGAGGTTTCCATAGAGATCATTAAAATCAAGGCAAATGGATTGTAGGGAGGAGATGTTAAATATTTCTTGAGGAATTGCCCTAGTGAGGTAATTCACTTCAATATTAAATTCAATTAGTTTTGAAAGGCGACCCAAATCACCAGGAATGTTTCCATGAATATGGTCATCCCCTAAATACAGTAGCACCAAACTTGAAATGTTGCCCAGAGAACATGGGATGGTTCCAGCAATCTTATTATTTCCAATATAAAACTTCTCAAGCTTAGGAAGACTCCCGATTTCTTCTGCTATACTTCCATTTAAACTATTATTATACAGAACTAATTGTGTAAGCTCTTGACACAAGTATAGCATAGAAGGAAGTGGGCCATTTATCTGGTTGTAAGAAAGAACTAACTCTTCAAGATTTGGACAATTGAGGCAAAATTCATCAGGCAGAGTGCCAGAGATGGTGTTTTGTGGAAGAAAAATGTACAACAGTGAGGAGAGATTAAAGATAGAAAAAGGAATTGAACCTGTCAACCCGCTTCTCTCCACTGCCAAGTACTTCAATTTTGTGATGTTGCCAAGTGATAATGGAATGGTACCCAGAAGGTTGTAATTTTTGCTTAAGAATAGATAACGAAGCTCAGGTAACATGCCTATTTCTTCTGATATACCACCAGTGAAGTTGTTATCTGCTAGATATATCACTTGTAATCTTCAGCACTGGTGTGAACTTGTTGGGATTGTTCCTTCCAAGTAGTTGTATTGCAACCATAATCCTTTCAGGTGCTATCAATGGCCAAACTCATGTGCCAGGCTGCCATGGAAACTATTGTTTTGTAGGTCTAACACCACGAGAAAGGAAAGGTTAGAGAGGTGTGGGGAGATGGTGCCTTGAAGACCCATGTGTCCAAGGTCCAAAACAGCAACCCTTTGTCTACGGGTGCTACAGGTGACCCCAATCCAATTACGAAAATTGGTTGAAGTGGTCCAATTGTGGGCCAAGACATTTGTGGGATCAAATTTGATTTCAAACTTGAAGGCAAGCAAAGCTGACTGATCAGTGATGTTGGAAGAAGACATGGCCAACCAAACCATGAATGATTATATTAACAGCAATCTAAAGAGAGAGACAAGGTTATGCCCTTCCATAACTAGTTTGAGTTTCAGATATAAAGCTGAAAAAAACAAAACAGAATTAGAAGGTTGTTGTGGTTACTATTGTTATTAATATTCACTTTATAGAATTGGTAATGCAGTCATAGGATAGGACAAGAGTTGACAAACTTGAGTTGAGTGAGCTACATAATACAAATATTCACACACAACATATACTTCCTATTCCTAAATAACTGTGAAATCAGGTTGGTGTCCATTATTGAGATTTTACGATCTTTCTTGGTTGTAATTTAGCTTCCTTGTTTTAGTTTATAGTGATCCTACAAGCACTAATTGATATACCAATTAGTATATCATATGCTATGAGATTGCCACTTCAACACTATGATCTCATCCGTTATACAAACTTCAAAAATCCAAAGCCTCTACAATTAGGCCATATCATCCATTAATACATTAATTAGTATACCAACTGATGTATATAGCATTATTCTTTAGTTTATGCTTGCAATGGTTTTTGGTTGGCTATGTAATTTGAATCTGAGAACTCTTATGTATGTTTGTTACTCTCTTTGAATGCAATTCTTATTTTTCCAAAAAAAAAAAAAAAAAAAGGTAAATTTCATCTGAAAACTAGCCGTTACAAGAAAGAAGTCCCCTGTATCATATAAACCATACTACGGCCTCGTTTGGGAAGGGCCGGTTTAGCCAAAAAGTCAAAAAGTTATTAAAAAAGTCAAAAAGCTAACAACGCATACAAAAAAGTCAAAGATTTTCTTTTCTCTCTACTAAAAGTCTTAAAAAAAAAAAAAAAAACCCCCTCATTTTCGAAACAAGCCCACACTTAGCTGGAAAAGAAGGGAAGAAGAAGTTGAAGGACAAAAGGAAGGGGGATTTCCTAAATTACTCCATTTGCCCACAAATATATGTACAATGACTACATTTTGTATACAATTTACTATCTCATGTGTCACATACGATGATAAAGCACTTTGTGATATACAAATATGATCATTGCAACATTAATATTGCCATGATAATCACACTTATCTATCATATTTTATTTAAGTAAATAATATTGATAGTCCTTGCAGTTTGTCTCGTGTGTTATTTTAATTTTTACACTTTCAATTATTGTATCAATTTGGTCTAATTAACAATGCTGTTAGGTTTGTTTTACAAAAAATGATACTGAGTTTATTGAGATTAATTTACTGAATTGATTAAGTTTACAAATTTGCTTCTAAAAACATGACACGTGTAGCTTATATGTCCATTTTTTTACAAAATCATGCTAATGTAATTAATTAGACCAAATTGATACAAAAATAAAAAAATTAATGGTCAAAATCAAGTAATTAAAATTATAGAAACCAAAATAATACAAAGATCAAAGAATAAAAAGTATCAATGTAATTTGTTATTTCATTTATTATTTTATGTGTCATTACTAAAAACATATGAAATGTAAGCAAAATCTATGTAATAATGTAGGACTATTATTTAAAATGTGTCAAAATGTCTAAGAGATATATTTTGTATCAATAGCTGAGATTAATTCCCAAATTCATCATAAGGTCAAGATGTCTTTAATTCCCACTCATCCACCTTCTTTTCTACATTTTTCTTCACTCGTGCTCTCTCTCTCTCTCTCTCTCCCTCCCCCCATTTTATTTTTTTTTATTTGCCCCCCCTTTTTTTTTATTTTCCTCCATATTTCTTTATTTTTTTATTTTTCCCTTCTTGTTCACTTATTTTATTTACATCGTGCCTTCAGGTAGTATTTTATATTATATAAATATAAAAGGGAAATTCTATGGTACACACATTTGGGGTGTGTACCACATGCACCATAGTTATGATCTTTGTGATATTTGGTTATGATCTATTGAGGTGTTAGTTATAACTTGGTTATACATATTATCGTGTTAGTTATGACTTATTGTAATATTAATTATGACATTATTTTAGTTATAATTCAAAAACTCTTTAGTTATATGTGTTTTAGTTATAACTCTTTTTTTTTCTTTTTAATTATGACTCCCATATGATTGAGTTATGAGTCATAACTTATACGGTACACATAGTATTATCATATATATATATATATATGTAGTAAATTCTAATAATTATTAGGACAAATTACACGAGTGGTCCCTATATTTTATTGTTCTAAAAAACCGAATCTTTACTCAGATTCATACTCTATTTACCTCCCCCTTTTTATCACATTCCAAGTAATCAAGTATTCAGTAAAACATGAGGTGAACAGTGAAAATTGAATACATGGTTATCAATTTCCAAGCCCACATTCTCAACTCAACATACATTAATTATTAACTTTCAAATCTTGAAATTATGTGAATAATTAGAGTTTGGAATACAAGCATCATTTTTCATAAGAATTTATTGAGTTGAGAACTACACATGTGGCATTGTTTCTGCACATGCGGAGGGCTTGGAATAATTGCACGAGTGGAGGGTTGGGGACTATCCAAGCATCATTTTTCACCAAATCAAAACTATGGTTTTAATAAATTTCGGGTTTTTAGCCCCTTTTTATATATATAGTAGCTCTCAACACCAATATTCATAATCCATAAGAATTTATTTGAAATTTTTATAAATGTTGGTTAAAATCCCCTTTGTGTTAAACATAAAACTTAACTTTTGCTCAATCATCAAAATAAAGTATCATGGTCACAACAATACCACATAATCATCCTCAAAATAAAGAAATATTAAGTTAAAAATAACTCTACATCAAGCAAAAGAGCAAGAAAACTAGACTTTTAAGAAGAATCATTCGTAGAATCAAAATCCAATCGGTAGAAAGCAATATCCTTACATAGACTCCATTTCCTACAAGTGATTTAGGCTTGAAACTTAGTGAACTGAGAGGTATGTAGAGAGAGAAATCTAGGGTTTTCAGAATTAGTGAGAAATTTAATTTCTTTCATTTCATAGTCCAAGTATATATAATAATTCATGCTATCCATAATTTTCAAATAACAACATCCATCCATCTCATGGATATCTCAAACAATATAACTACATGTGAAAATTTCATCATTTTTTTTAAAGAAATCTGCAATAATTTCATTAATATCTTACAAAATCCATTTTCTCCTAATTTTTCCAAAATTTATGGTTTAAACAAAAGAAGGTTTTCTCCATTTTCACGACATTTCCCTTTTATATACCCCCAAGAGGTTCATAAATTCATAAAACAATTTAATTTGAACCAAAACATAAGAAAAATCATATCTCAACTTTTTCCAAGACTCAACACTTCAAACGTCAAATCCTTTACTCAAAATCATGATAAAAATATGCTAGACATGCTAAAACCATATATATAACTCTAAGAAGCTCCTTACCTCAAGATTGGAGAAGAAAATATGAGAAAAGCTCTAAAATTGACAGCGTCAAAATCTAATTTCCACCACACAAAGTGTAGCCCTTGATGAGCTCTCCAACTTTGATGAAGGAATTAGGGTCAAAGCTCAAGTAGATTTGGAGAAATCAAGGATTTAATGGAGTTTGGTGAGAGTAAATGAAGAGAGAATGGAGAGAAATGTGTTTAGAGAGAGAGATGAGGGAAAAGTGAGGTGTAACTCAGCCTAAGGAAAGAAAAGGGAAAAAAAATTGGACCCAGCACATTTCTACACGCGCACGCTTTCTTCTGCATGTGCAGAGTGTACCTCTGCCACACGTGCGACATGCCTCCCGCACGTGCCCTCCACTCGTGCAATTATTTCAGTCCCCAACCCTTGAAGACACTCTCTCACTACACATGTGGCATTGTTTCTGCACATGCGGCCCAAGCCCCCGCACGTGCGATTTTGCTCCATCTCCGGATCTTTTAAGCTTGGCAAGCCTATGATAGTCCAACTATGATCCTAAAATAAGAAAACTCAACCCTAGAAAAAGAATGAGGACGTAATTTCAAGGATGATTTTTAGGAGTGAAGAACTTAAACGGCCGATAAGGTCTCAAATTGGTTCTCTGACATCCTAAACATGAGAAAAATTAACACGACTAAAAGGGAATAAGACGGGTTAACTACCTGGACATCACATTCTCTAAACTCGTTGAGTCATGAAGAATATTGAGAATAAAAGCTCAACAATTATTGATTTTCAAAAAAATACTTAAAATTGGAACAAATAGTATAAAAAAGCTGAACAGTCTTAAAGTTTACTTCTAATATTTATAAGTAAAAGCAAACGTTACCTAGTAAGAAACAATTAGAATTAGAAATTTTGTAATGAGCGAAATAGAAATAAGAAAATATAACGAAAATTACCAAGAAAATAATATTACAATAAAATAAAATAAAACTACTAATATATGCTGATATGATAATGGCAAAATTGACGGAATTGAATTCCAAAGGCTACGTTAAGAGTAATTGAAGTTGCAGATCTTTATAAAAATGACAAATTCTCAAAATTCAAAGATGGAATTTGTCCAAAATCCACTGGGTACCATGAAAATTCTGCTTAGAATCGTATTTTCCATCAATCCACCAA